TCAAAATTTTCATTTTGTTTTTTGGGGGAGATTTCGAAAGGTGAATGGTTCCGGCGGAATTATTGATCAAGGGTATGTTTCTCTTGTTGGGGAGATCAATATGGCTGATAGGAGTGTCAACACGCAATGAATAGGGGATTTGAATAACCAACTTTTTTGGAGTCGATTTAATATTCTTCTAGTTGTGAAAGGGGGTAGAGCACTTCTCTAAGTGAATAAGGCTAAAAAGTAACTATACTAGTCTTTGGCGAGGACTTGGACAATTCATCGCATGGAAAATTCTTCACAATTAATCGATAAAAAATGAGCGGAATTATCAATAGTGAAAATTCGAATTTAAAATTTTGAAAAATTTTTTTTTGAAAAATTCAGAACATTTTCCGATGGAAAATAGAACTATCTGTGGATTTTTTTTTTAATCAGTCACATAAAAACTAAAAACGAATGAGAAAAAAGTAAAACGAAAATGAGAAAAACGCAAAAACAGCGAAACAAATTTTCGCAGTTTACTCATTTATTGTGATCAACAAGATATAAACGAAAATTCAAAATCGAAATTTAGAGGCCGAAAACCCATGACATTTTTTGTGGAAGGTCCCATTTATTAACACTGTTGGAATTATTATATGAGTGAGACGTAGATGAAGGCAAAAAGCCATCTCTAATGAGTTCATTTTTCTTGGTATAGATTGTATGTTTAATAACATCGGAGTCAGAGTGTTTATAAGAATTTTGTTTAGTCTCAGTAGAGTGGAGGAGTGGGATGAATGCCTCTTTATGGATCAGATTTTTGACCAGAGTTCGTCACCAATTTCTTTGTGTCGAATCAGTCTCTCGGAGAGCTTTGAAAAGTAAAGACGTGCCCTCATTAGTAAAACCAGTTAAATTCAAATAGTCAATCACGAGTGTTTTCATTTATCGCCATAATCCTAATAAACACCCCCCGGCTTTGAATTTCCATTTTAATAACTGAACATTGAATGAATTCTGCAATTTTGCCTGACGACATAAGACTTTTCATTAAATATTTCAATCATGCTTTTTTTTCTCCAAATTTAATTGTAAAGATGAATTGTCCATATGATGAAATGAGCTGTTGTTCTGTAACGAAAAGGGATGATGAATAGTTTTGAATAAATTATTCGTAACATCTTTGATTGAAGCCATTGATCCTCGTCCTCGTGGCTTAATATCTTCCACAATTCACTTTAATCATCATGATGACCACCTACATTGGCTTGATACACATTGTGAGTCATGATTTTAATGGCCACAAGGTAGGCACGTGCACCGAAATGTTTGAAGAATTCATTCCGGAAACGACAGCTGTCTGACCAATCTTGTTACTCCACTACTCAATCAAGTTTGTGTGGCGACATTTTGTCATTATGAGATGAAAAAAATCACTCCAACTTTGTCTTGTTTCGTGGACGAGGAGAATTTCTCTCCATTGAAGATTGATAATTAACTTCAGCTCTTCCGAATGAAACTTGATCTTGGCAAGTTGAAACAATAGCGAGACTTGTCCAAACAATTGTTGAAAATCAATGAATATCGATCGACCTCGAGCACTATCATCAGCGGAATAATGCTACCCGTTCAAATCCTATACACGTCTGTCCTGAAGCCCCATTAACCATTCAATATGACTTAACAAAACGAACAGAACGGAAGTAGACGGTTACCTCAATGCCTGGTACACCGAGGTCGCACTTGAAACTATAGTGACATCTGGGAGCGCCGAATGGTCCAGTGAAAAAGCTATCAGAATTTTTCCATTAACTCGGTCAATCCCGTGGTGCCTCATCACAACGCCCAATACAGCCATCAATATCAATTATTCATAATTATTTATTTTACTTCTTCATTGCCACGTCATTACTTTTTTTTTGTCAATTTTTTTTTCTAGCATGGCCGCACAGACTCGTACAGAGTTGCAACATTCACGAATGTACGCGATGACAACAAAACAGCTGATGGAATGGTCAAGGTAGTGATGAGCAGAATTTCAGGGGACGAATAAGTTCAGTTGTGAAGTGATGAAGGGGAAGGGAATGAGTTGATTTCACATGTTGTTACGTAGCAGATTGTCTTCGTAATGAGTGACTTCGGGGGGATTTTATGACATCTTCGTCTGAGGGCACTTCTGAGATGGACGAACAGTCACTGAATGTGTGGAATTGACCCGTTACCACTTCGCAACTGAACCCATCAAGGATTGACTTTATTGAATCGCATATGTCCGCTTTCAATGGCTCCTTCTCTTTCCTAACTTCAAGAATCTCTCCGTTTCTCTCTCTATCTCTATCTACTCATCTGACCTTTCGCCAAATTCTAACAAGATCATCATTACGCGAAGACAAACGGTTCGCTTCAACCTTTACATGAAGATAATTAATTAGTCCTGGAGTAATCCTTCAATTCCTCCGGGAGCCTTTGTCTCTCAACTCTCCGTTCTTTCTCTGATTGTTCAACGGATAATCTAATTTTAGGAACGCACTAACCTGACAGCTCTCGCTCCTGAGATCAACAGACAGTCACCAAAGACGTAAAATTGACTCGTTACCACTTTACAACTGAACCCATCAAGGATTGACTTTATTGATTCGCATATGTCCGCTTTCAATGGCTCCTTCTCTTTCCTAACTTCAAGAATCTCTCCGTTTCTCTCTCTATCTCTATCTACTCATCTGACCTTTCGCCAAATTCTAACAAGATCATCATTACGCGAAGACAAACGGTTCGCTTCAACCTTTTCATGAAACTAATTAATTAATCCTGGGGTAATCCTTCAATTCCTCCAGGAGCCTTTGCCTCTCAACTCTCCGTTCTTTCTCTGATTGTTCAACGGATAATCTAATTTTAGGAACGCACTAACCTGACAGCTCTCGCTCCTGAGATCAACAGACAGTCACCAAAGACGTAAAATTGACTCGTTACCACTTTACAACTGAACCCATCAAGGATTGACTTTATTGAATCGCATATGTCCGCTTTCAATGGCTCCTTCTCTTTCCTAACTTCAAGAATCTCTCCGTTTCTCTCTCTATCTCTATCTACTCATCTGACCTTTCGCCAAATTCTAACAAGATCATCATTACGCGAAGATAACCGGTTCGCTTCAACCTTTTCATGAAATTAATTAATTAATCCTGGGGTAATCCTTCAATTCCTCCAGGAGCCTTCGACTCTCAACTCTCCGTTCTTTCTCTGATTGTTCAACGGATAATCTAATTTTAGGAACGCACTAACCTGACAGCTCTCGCTCCTGAGATCAACAGACAGTCACCAAAGACGTAAAATTGACTCGTTACCACTTTACAACTGAACCCATCAAGGATTGACTTTATTGAATCGCATATGTCCGCTTTCAATGGCTCCTTCTCTTTCCTAACTTCAAGAATCTCTCCGTTTCTCTCTCTATCTCTATCTACTCATCTGACCTTTCGCCAAATTCTAACAAGATCATCATTACGCGAAGATAACCGGTTCGCTTCAACCTTTTCATGAAACTAATTAATTAATCCTGGGGTAATCCTTCAATTCCTCCGGGAGCCTTTGCCCCTCAACTCTCCGTTCTTTCTCTGATTGTTCAACGGATAATCTAATTTTACGAACGCACTAACCTGACTATCCACTGCCCTTTTGTACAACCGGTTGAGCTCTCACCTCGACCTATCACGCTCGATGGAACCACTAATACACTTTAACATTTCACTTATTTTAATCTCTTTTCACGTACTTGCACAGTCGGTTGTATCGGTGGATTATTTCTCAGACTCGTTTCATAATCAGCTTTGTTCTCAGCGGTGGTGGGCTGCGATATTTCTGGAACGCTGCAGCACTCTTGTCGATTATTGAATCAATCGTTCTGTAATTGCACTTTTTCCGGGCCACATTGAGATAGTACATTTCAACACCAGTGCGCAAAAGTGTTCTGACTTTCCCAAGGGTCGAAGAACGCTTTTCTCACGGGTGTCGAATTTTACTTTTCATCTCAACGTGTGGAAAGTGGAATTTTAGTGCTTTTTCATCGCTCCACTTTACGCACGCGCGATGAAAAGGAACTTCTCCCTAATCATAAATACGTCACTAGTCTCACCTAAATTCAATAATTTGGCAATTGCTGAGAAGAATTGGGCTTCACTTCAACACAATTTCACTTCTAAATGGACTTCTTATAATTTGGTCAAGCTAGGTCTCTACGAATTATTAAAATGCTAATCACTGTTTTTATTTCGTTCTTCTCACGCTTGAATTTTAATTTGATGTTGAGTTAGAGGTTTCCTTGGATTTTCAGAATATTTTCCATGAGACTAATGCGCAAAAGTGTTCTGATCCTCCCAAGGGTCAAAAAATTCTTTTCTCACGGGTGTCGAATCTTGCATTGCATCACAACGTGTGGAAAGTGGGATTTTGCGCACGCGGAGCGTTCGCAAAAATCCATTTTACACACGAGTGATGAAAAAGTACTTCTTTCTAATCATAAATACGTCACTTGTCTCCACTAAATTCAGTAATTTGGCAATTGCTGAGGAGAATTGGGCTTCGCTTCAACACAATTTCACTTCTAAATGGGCTTCTTATAATTTGGTCAAGCTAGGTTTCTATGAATGATTAAAATGCCGATAACTGTTTTAATTTCGTTCTTCTCATGCTTGAATTTTAATTTGATGTTGAGTTGGAAGTTTTCTTGGGTTTTTAGAATATTTTTTATGAGACACTTGTTGAATGAACGAGGTTCGGCTCTCCGTTGAGGACTGAGACGACACGAGAGAACAAGCCAACACACCCAACTCAGATTAATTAGAGGGGTTAATAAGTCCAACGACTTATTAATTCATGCATCATTCGAGTGCGTGTATTGGTGGAGTTATCGTCGTGTTATCTCTCCGGGTCCCCGGAGAAAGCCATTCAATTGATTAAATGCCGTCGCATTTCATGGCACAGTTACTAATCGAAATGTCTTCTGTTGTTCTTCTTTTTTGCGCAACGAATCGAATAATAGTCGCGGCGAAAGAACCCAAAGAGGAAAGGAGACAACTTGGATGACTTGAAACAGGAGTTGGATATTGATTTTCATAAAATCTCACCTGAAGAACTCTATCAGAGATTTCAAACTCATCCAGAGAACGTAAGTTGAACAGTAATTTAGGTCATTTTAGAAGATGATTGTTTGGTTGTTTGTTAAGGATATCCAGTAGTTTTGCTATTTTTTTCCCATTTGAGACACATTTGACCCTAAGTTTCCGGACATTTTACAATGATTTTATTATTCAAACTTTGCAGGTCTGAATTTGAATGTCGACATTGAACCGTTAGAAAATAATTTAAAAATCTGAAAAATATTAGAAAGTTTACTTTTGAAGGAAGATTAGTGAAATGATGAAAAAATTGGAATTTTTGAAAATTACGAGGATTTTTTATAAATAATTTATAAACAATCAATCAGTCTGAGTTGACAGTAGTTTTGATCAAAGTTTGCTCTAAAAAACAAAATAACACATTAATTTTTTTAGACTAGTTTTTATAAATCAGTAGCGAAGCGGTAAACCGGGTTAAGTCGATTTTTACTATTGGCTAGTTTTTGACGAATATCTCGGAATCTAAAAGAGATAGAAATATTTTTGTCATGACCTTTTTTGTAGAGCCAATAGAGCGTTATAAAAAAAGTCATGAGAAAAATTTTGCTATCTCTCTTAGATTCCGAGATATTCAGCAAAAACTGGCTAATAGTGAAAATCGACTTAACTCGGTTTACCGCTTCACTACTGAAATGTAAACATTGTATATATGTCAATAACGCTGTGACTCATAAAAAAAACATTGTTAAAAAAAAAGTAGAGCACCAGACCGGCAATCTGAAGGTCGCGAGTTCAAACCCCGCTCGGGCATTCCTCATTTTTTCCGAAATTGATTCACAAATATCATAGTTGCCAGATTCGGCGACTTGTCGCTAAAATATCTGGCGACACAGCTAAACATAGAGAGAAAAATATAAGATTAATTTTTGGCCTCGTATTATGTCAACTAGAACTTCAACAATCCCCACACCTTGAATGTTCCAGGGCCTTAGCCATGCGAAAGCGAAAGAGAATTTGGAGCGCGATGGTCCAAATGCACTAACACCACCGAAAACCACCCCAGAATGGGTTAAATTCTGCAAAAATTTATTCGGTGGTTTTGCCCTATTACTTTGGATCGGTGCTATTCTATGTTTCATTGCGTACTCGATTCAAGCATCAACGAGCGAGGATCCCAATGATGACAATCTATATCTTGGCATTGTACTTGCCGTAGTTGTGATAGTAACGGGTATATTCTCGTACTATCAGGAGAGCAAATCGAGTAAAATAATGGAGTCATTCAAGAACATGGTGCCTCAATTTGCAACTGTTCTGAGAGAGGGTGAAAAATTGACCCTCAAAGCTGAGGACCTTGTCCTCGGTGATGTTGTTGAGGTGAAATTTGGCGATCGTATACCAGCTGACATTAGAATCATAGAGTCACGGGGTTTTAAAGTTGACAACAGCTCGTTGACTGGTGAATCAGAGCCACAATCAAGATCACCAGAATTCACCAATGATAATCCACTCGAAACAAAAAATCTCGCGTTCTTCTCTACTAATGCTGTTGAGGGTACAGCCAAGGGTGTTGTCATATGCTGCGGTGATCAGACTGTAATGGGAAGAATCGCTGGTCTAGCGTCTGGTCTTGACACTGGTGAAACACCAATCGCCAAGGAAATTCATCATTTCATTCACTTAATCACTGGTGTCGCTGTTTTTCTCGGTGTTACATTCTTTCTTATCGCTTTTATCCTCGGTTATCACTGGTTGGACGCTGTTATCTTCCTCATCGGTATCATTGTCGCCAATGTACCAGAGGGTCTTCTTGCAACGGTGACAGTCTGCTTGACCCTAACAGCTAAGAGAATGGCATCGAAAAATTGTCTCGTCAAGAATCTCGAAGCTGTGGAGACACTTGGCTCGACGTCGACAATATGCTCTGACAAAACTGGTACACTGACTCAAAATCGTATGACTGTTGCGCACATGTGGTTCGACAATCAGATCATCGAGGCCGACACGACTGAGGATCAGTCTGGTGTACAGTACGATCGTACGAGTCCTGGATTCAAGGCACTTGCTAAGATCGCAACCCTCTGCAATCGCGCGGAATTCAAGCCTGGTCAGGAGGGTCAGCCCATACTGAAGCGTGAGGTCAATGGTGATGCCTCAGAAGCTGCACTCCTCAAGTGCATGGAGCTTGCACTTGGCGATGTCATGGGCATCAGAAAGAGAAACAAAAAGGTCTGCGAGGTGCCATTCAACTCGACCAACAAGTATCAGGTGTCGGTTCACGAGTCAGATGATCCCAATGATCCCCGTCATCTACTTGTTATGAAGGGTGCACCGGAGAGAATTCTCGACAGATGTTCAACAATCTTCATTGGTGGAAAGGAAAAAGTCCTCGACGAAGAGATGAAAGAGGCATTCAACAATGCTTATCTCGAGCTCGGTGGTCTTGGTGAGCGTGTACTTGGTTTTTGCGATTACATTCTACCAACTGACAAGTATCCAGTGGGTTTTAAATTCAACAGCGACGATCCAAATTTTCCAACTGAGGGTCTTAGATTTGTTGGTCTCATGTCCATGATTGATCCACCACGTGCTGCTGTACCAGATGCCGTTGCCAAGTGTCGTTCAGCCGGTATCAAAGTTATCATGGTAACCGGTGATCATCCAATCACTGCCAAAGCCATTGCCAAATCAGTTGGTATTATATCAGAGGGTAATGAAACTATTGAGGATATTGCACAGAGATTGAATATACCAGTGTCAGAGGTCAATCCTAGGGAGGCTAAAGCTGCTGTTGTTCATGGTACTGATCTTAGGGATACTAGTAGTAGTCAACTTGATGATATCCTGAGGTATCATACCGAAATTGTGTTCGCTCGTACGTCACCACAGCAGAAACTCATTATTGTGGAGGGATGTCAGAGGATGGGAGCCATTGTTGCTGTAACTGGTGAGTTGTACCTTTTATTTTTTGATTTTCTATTTCTTCTTTGAAGGATTATACATGTTGTGGGAGCCTTGAGGACTTTGATGTCGAATGTGATGAGGAAGGCCCAGTCTTCCGCATGTTTTCTTTTGTTTTTAGTTGAGGATCAAATCGTTTTGAAGGTCAAACGACACTTGGTTGTAAGGGTCAAAGGATCATTGATGACGTAATCCTCACTAATCAATCGTGAGGGTTGTTTGACCCTCAAGGCAATTTTACCGTTCTCTCCGAACATTCTAAAGAGTCGTTTGGGCTTCAAACATTTGACCCCCAAATGTTTTTTAAGGTTTTTCTGAACTCAAGGACCTTTGGAGTTGAGAGTTAAATGACCCTTAAGAACGTTTCGAGTTGAGAGTTAAATTGTCTCAAAGGGCCAACGACCCTTAAAGAGTTAAAGGGTTAAAGGCCAATTCCCCTTTGCTCACCTCATCACTAAACGTCCGTAAGAGTTGTTTGACTCTCAATACAATTTCACCCTCAACTTGACCCTTTATTTAAACGTTTTCTAAGGGTCTTTCGACCTTCAGGATCTTTGGAGTTGAGGTTCAAATTGTCCTTGAGAGTTTTTCGAGTTGAGGGTCAAATTATCTGTCGGCGCAAACGATCCTCAAAGGGTTATAGGATAAAGGGTCAATTGACCCTTTCTGATCTAATCATCACCAACCCATCAATTGACCCTCAATATCATTTCACCCTCACCCCTAAACGTTCTTAACCCTCATTTGAGCCTCAACTCTCAACGTCCTGAAGGCTCATTTGACCCTCGACACCACTTGAGCCTCAATTCTAACGTTTTCCAAGGGTCGTTTGATCTCAAGGATTTTTGGAGTTGAGGGCCAAATGACCCTTAATAACCTTTTGAATTAAAGGTCAAATTGTCGTAAGGGGCAATCGTCCCTTAAAGAGTTATAGGATTAAGGGTCAGTTGAACCTTTCTGACCTAATCATCACTAAACGTTCCTAAAGGTTGTTTGACCCTCAATACCCCGAATAACACTTCGCTCTCATAATATGCCCTCAGGCGACGGTGTAAACGATTCACCAGCCCTGAAGAAAGCTGACATCGGCGTTGCCATGGGTATCGCTGGCTCAGACGTCTCAAAACAGGCAGCCGACATGATCCTCCTCGATGATAATTTCGCGTCAATCGTCACTGGTGTCGAAGAGGGACGACTTATTTTCGATAATCTGAAGAAATCCATAGCCTACACCCTCACCTCAAACATCCCTGAGATCTCGCCCTTCCTGGCATTCATTCTGTGTGACATTCCGTTACCACTGGGTACCGTCACCATTTTGTGCATCGATTTGGGAACTGACATGGTGAGTAATCAAATTTATCTCGCAAAAGCTTCATTAGCGATTGGACTGAAACATATTCCGATCAACCAGAAGACATCTGCCAGATTGTGGCCTCGAATAATGAATATCTTATGTTGTTTTCGTCAACCCTTGATGATTTTCCAAGTTGATGTCCTCTGATTGATCGAGCCATCAGTGTTTTTATCAAAGGGTTTTCTATTCGAATTAACGAAATATTAGATACCAGCGATATCACTGGCGTACGAGCACGCAGAGTCCGACATAATGAAGAGGCGTCCACGAAATCCAAACTTTGACAAGCTCGTTAATGACAGGTTAATCTCAAATAATCATTCAGCCAGGAGTAGAACCTTCAACGAACCACTTTAATATCTAATTAAGCTCCTTATTCTCACGCCAGGTATCAATTTATCGCCAGAATCCAGCGCTCCTAGCAATCCACTAAGGATTGTTGCAGACAAAATTATGATCCATAGAAACCTTTCTTCCAGGAATTGAGTTTTATGTTCTGGCAGGATAACCCCATGTCCTTTCCTCACAATCCCTTTTTTTCACCCAAAAGTATGTCAATGAGTTCTTGATATTCATCATCTCACGTGTCATCTTAACGTCTCCAAGTTTGCGTTTTCGGATCATTATTATTTTACCCTCGTTAATCTGATGGGTTGTTTTCGGCGTCCGTGAAAGCCAGACTTTGACAAACTAGTTAATGACGGGTTATCTCAAATAATCATTCAGTCAGGAGTAGAACCTTCAACGAACCACTTTCATATCTAATTAAGCTCCTTATTCTCATGCCAGAATCCAGCGCTCCTAGCAATCCACTAAGGATTGTTGCAGACAAAATTATGATCCATAGAAACCTTTCTTCCAGGAATTGAGTTTTATGTTCTGGCAGGATAACCCCATGTCCTTTCCTCACAATCCCTTTTTTTCACCCAAAAGTATGTCAATGAGTTCTTGATATTCATCATCTCACGTGTCATCTTAACGTCTCCAAGTTTGCGTTTTCGGATCATTATTATTTTACCCTCGTTAATCTGATGGGTTGTTTTCGGCGTCCGTGAAAGCCAGACTTTGACAAACTAGTTAATGACGGGTTATCTCAAATAATCATTCAGTCAGGAGTAGAACCTTCAACGAACCACTTTCATATCTAATTAAGCTCCTTATTCTCACGCCAGAATCCAGCGCTCCTCGCAATCCACTAAGGATTGTTGCAGACAAAATTATGATCCATAGAAACCTTTCTTCCAGGAATTGAGTTTTATGTTCTGGCAGGATAACCCCATGTCCTTTCCTCACAATCCCTTTTTTCACCCAAAAGTATGTCAATGATTTCCTGATATTCATCATCCCACGTGTCATATTAACATCTCTAAGTTTGCGTTTTCGGATCATTATTATTTTACACTCGTCGATCTGATAGTTTTTTTTTTGTTTCTATTATTGCTCATAATGCTTGTTAATATGACGTCAGGTACCCGCCATCTCGCTAGCCTATGAGGAGGCTGAGAGTGATATTATGAAGCGACAACCACGAAACCCCTTCAGTGACAAGCTTGTTAATGAAAGGTAAAATATCAATCAACGAAAGGAAACGATTACTCTTCGATATTTTCAACTATTGGGGGCTTGAGGTGCTTTTACTTATTTTATCTCGTATTTTTTCGTCTTTTATTCTTCAATTTTTTCTGATTACGAGGTACGTTTGATGGGAGTTGAATAATTCAGTAGTGAAACGACGTAAGTCGAACATTTGGGGATCTAACTCATCTTCAGGTGCAATTACTATTGAATTATTAACACCTATCTCATAATTATCTGACGACTTCTTACAGTCCTCACTTTATTTCTTCGTCTGTCAACTCCAAAAGACTGGATATCTTGTCTCCTACTGATATCAAATATCTATTCTCCCTTGACTTATGGTGACTGTCGCTTCACTATTCCATCACGATATTTATCAACTCGAGTTTTATATTAACATTCATCTCAGTTAATGGAACTTGTTAATGTATTGCTGGGGATTCGTCGGTCATTTCGTCGTTATTATTCTTTCAGTCATTGATCATTTCATTTCATTGGTCATTTCTGGTGATTGTTTTGGGTCTGTGGGTGTAATTGGGGGTATTGAGGTGTAAGGTTGCAGTATTATTATGTATGCAAATATTGTTTCCCTTCGATATTGTGACGTCATTATCATCATTGCTTTGTATCGTCCTCATTTGTCTTTACATTTTCTTCATTAAACTCTCAATTTTTCTATTTCGGTGATAATATTGGGTGAAGGTCAAATAACCCCTTATGATCACTCTCCTCCAAACGGTTTGACCCTTAATCCTAAAGGGTTTTTAAGGGCTGTTTGAGCCTCAACTCCAAACGTCCTTAAGGGCGTTGTTTGACCCTCAACTGAAAGAAACTCTCCACAAATGTCTGTTGACATTTTCTTATAGAGTAGATCGACATCAAGATAATTTAACTTTTAAAAAACAACTTCTAAAGACACCAGGTAAAACGACTACTTGGCACAATTCAGGGAATTTTTTCTAGTTGTGGGTCAAATGGTCTTGAGGGTCAAACAACCCTTAAGGATGTTTGAAATTGAGGGTCAAATTTTCGTGAAGGGAAAACGACCCTTGAAGATGTGCAGAGTTGAAGGTCAAATGACCCTTTCTGATAATTCTAATCTAACCCGTTTAACCTTTAAGACCATTTGACCCTCAGCTCGAAACATCCTTAAAGGTCGTTTGACCCTCGACCAAAGACAAATGTCAAGACATCTTTCTTGGTAGAAAAAGGAATCCTCAACAAAAAATATCTCTTAAAAAATGGTCTTGAGGGTCAAATAATCCGTAAGGTCATTTTGAGTTGAAGGTCAAATTGTCTCAAAGGGCAAACGACCTTTAAAGACGTGCAGGGTTAAAGGTCAAATGACCAATTCTGATCACTTTCCTCTAACTCATTTGACCCTCACGAAAATTTGACCCTGAACTAACACAAAATGTCAAGACATCCGTCAAATAATCACGAGGGTCAAACGACCCTTAAGAACGTGCGGGGTTGCGGGTCAAACCTTTTCTGATTACTATATTCTGGCCTGTTTGACCCTCAACTTCAAACATCCCTAAGGGTCGTTTGACCCTCAAAAGACCATTGACGAGACGTCTTGAGATTTTGCGTTAGTTGAGGGTCAAATGGTCGCAAGGGTCAAACACCTCTTGAAGATGTGCAAGGTTGAGGGTTAAACGACTTTTTCTGATCACTCTAATCCGACCCGTTTGACCCTTAAGCCCGGTTGACCCTGAAAACCATTTGACCCTCAACTAAAATCAAGAAAAATTGACGTCAATCCTTATTCGTTTTTATTTAAAAACTAATACGAAAAATTGAGAGTTCATAATTGTTGTTCATTCTCTCTCAATTCATCAATAAATTAATTTGCTAAATGTCATGACATCTCCTTTGGTTATTCGTTTAACCATAAAGGTAAGCCACTTCTAATTTCTCTTCATTTAATTAATTAAAATGAAAAATCCTCACAGCACTTTAGCTTCTCCATAAAGAAATCTAAAGTATTTTTTCGTCATCACCTCAGATCTTGTCTCAGCATTACTTAATCCTCACTCATGCAATGGGAAACGAATATTTCGATTGAATAATTTCGTTCAGTATTTATAATTATTTTTTTTATTTCTTCTACGCATGTTCATCTTATGGAGAAAGGCCGCATTGTGTGCTCCTTGCGTCTGTCTGCGTCATGATATTTTCTCATTCATCGAATCATCTATGAAATATACCCTTCATTCGCATTATTATGATCAAAACTCCTGCTCTATTTTTATATCTTATTCACTCTCACTACGATAATACATTTTTCCTTTAGTCTTATTTCTATTTTGTTTGTCCCACTGTATATCCTGCCTGTATTTTATTATGGAGCCATACACCAATGCCAATATTATATTGTTGCTATTTTCAGAGGAATATTTCTGACATTTTACATTCAATTGTTGAAAACTAATGGATAAATTCGGGGGAGAACAGGATTTACAAAAGTCAACTGAGTTTCCATTTTCGGTGAATATCTCAGAATCCAATCGAGATATCAAATTTTTGGTCGGATCCTTTTTTGTAGCTGAGAAAATTCTCTACAAAAAAGTATTGCACACAAAATTCACTATCTCTCTTCGATTTCGAGATATTCACCAAAAACTAATCCTCAAATCCAATTTTTTTCAGATCTTGTTTTACCACTTCTGAGTCATATCAGTAAACAATTTATTTTGTACAAAAAAAATGGAAAAAATCAGAAATTTACCTCTGCATCTACTCGCCTTGCTCTCGCCCAATTTTCGACCTTCGCACGGGTCTCGAAATACTTGAGTTGAATTGAATTTGTTGAATATGTAAATCAGAGAAGAGAAAAAAACTGTTTAAATGTTTCTAGTCAGAGAACGATTCGTGAAACAGTAGTTAAATATCGCGAAATTGTTGATCCCCAATTAGTCACCAAAAGAATTTATTTAAAAAAAATCTCATTAGTTAATCAACAATTTTGCGCCGAGTAAGATGAAGATTCTTATTCAGTCTGTCGTAGTTAATGACTATTTCTTCATAAGTATTAGTTAGAGATTTAGAATTAGATAATTCTTTACTCAATTTAATAATAATTATATTTAATATATTGTCTATTATATCGTATGGATGGAACAGATTAATTAGTAACACAACAACAACAAATTTAACAACATCGTGATCTTAATTACTATTTACTCTGGCAGCTGAACCATTTATTCTATTCACTGCAAGCTAAAACTTTCGCATTTAAAATTTTTTCACAGCGATTTATTCTTCGATTGATGATCATTTATGACGGACAACACACGCGCGTCATTATTTCAAGCTTTTTTGGATAATGAGTTATTGTAGAGAGACGACTGGCCAGGATTTACCAGCGGAGAATCTCTACTTTGTGTATTTAATTAATTTAATCGCGAAGAGTCGAGGGATTTTAATTTATTGACCACTGAATTTATCGGATTTTTACGTAAATCTTCATGTTTTTGTTGATTTTGAGGCAATTAGATGTGATTGATTATTAAATTGAACACTTCGACTCTTCGTCTGTCAATCGCTTAGGAATGGCACCGATGAATCTTTATCATTTATTTATTTCTTCTGTAATTACCAAACTCGGATCATCAATTCATTACAGATACTCGTCATAAACTGCTCTCCCTTTATTATCTCGATAACGAGTGGATGTAGCGAAAAATGTTACGGAAACAAAATGTGGAAAATTTAATTCTCCACAAAAAATGTTATATGACATTTTCCGCTAAACCCACTCCTTCTGGGGATAATCCAACATGAAGACAAGACAAAAAATTGGATGTCTTAAAAAAAAAAGAAGAAATACTTTTACATTATCGCAATTATCTCAGTAATGAGTGGTTCCAGTGAAAAATGGCACTAGACATGTTTTGTAGAGAATTAAATTTCCCACGAAAAAGTCATTTGAGATTTTTCTCTAAAGCCACTCATTACCGAGATAATCCAGGATTTAAGAAAATTCGATAATTGAATTCTTCTTTTTTTTCTCGTTTTACCACTTCACTAATGAATTATAAACAAATTATCTTAATTAATGAGCATGTAATGACAATTATCACTGATCAGAGTTTGGTCTGAGGCTTAAATAATCCGCTCGAAGATAAATTCATGCTATAATACCATAAATTTTAATATTAATGAGCATGAATTTATGTCAAGTGTGGACTGTCAACTAAATGAATTCAACAGGCTCTCAGGATATAAATTGATTAATGACGCATCTTCATTGCTTGACAGTCCTCATCATAAATGATATAAAAAGGAAATAAAATTCTGTGATAATCATCTGGCACATGAAATCATTGGTTATATAATGATTAGAAAAGAACTTTAGGCGCTTTCTATTCATCACTTTTGATTCTTCGCACACAAAAAAATTTTTTATCTTAAATCATGGGTGGATGGCAGGTGCCGGCCATCTCGCTAGCCTACGAGGCACCGGAGTCGGACATTATGAAACGCCAGCCACGCGATCCTTACAGAGACAATTTAGTCAACCGAAGGTGGGTTCTTCCTTTGACTCACCCTCCCGACAACAAGAACAAGCTGATTAATTCGATCAAGTCGTTGTCTATGCACCTGTCGTGTCATTGAATCGGTCATTTTTTTTGGGCGACAGACATGTGATGATTTGGGAGGGATGAGGCAAACTGGAACAGATATTTTTTTTTGGCACTCAAAAAATGCCAAATCAAAAGTTCCTGAAGGTCTCTCCCATTTGCCCCTTGAAAAGGTTTGAGGGAAGAGATGGGTGGAGTTATTAGAAGTGTCAAGCATTCTCAAGGGTCAAAGGAGAGAGACAGGTGGATTTATCATAAGGGTTAAACGGGAAAGCTAGAGGCCCTTGCTCTCCCATTTGACCCCTAACACCGTGTGCCGTAAAGGTCAAATGGGAAGGCTAGATAACCTTCTTGCTCTCCCATTTAATGTCCGAGAACATTTGCCCCTTTTGGTAACTCCACTCGTCTTAAGGGTCAAATGGGAGAGCTAGATGACACTCTAGCTGTTCCATTCGAGCTTTAGGAACGTGTGATACTCCTGACAACTCAGGCAAAGTGGAACAAATGACTTCCCTGTTTCTCAAAAAAAGGCGAAGGGTCAAATTTTTCTGAACGACTCTCCCATTTGACCCTTGAGAAGGTTTCAGTCAAGGGATGGGAGTTATCAGAAGTATCAAGCATTCTCAAGGGTTAAACGAGAGAGACAAGTGGATTTATGATGAGATTCAAACGGGAGAGTTAGAGGCCCTTGGTCTCTCATTTGAGCCCTATCAACGTGTACCGTAAAGGTTAAGTTGGAGGCCTAGATAACCTTCTTGCTCTCCCATTTGACCCTTAAGAATGTTCGACCCTTTTGAAAACTCCACCCATCATACGGGTCAAATGGGAGAGCAAGAGGCCCTTGCTGTCCCATTTGACTCTCAATCCTCTTTGGCCCTTGAATCACAAATTTTTCTAGCGTTCCACTTTGCCTCACCCTCCCCTCTTCTGTGGGAGAGTAAGTCGGTAATGTATTATAATAAGAAATTTCCGTCAAAAAACATCTTGACATTTTCATTAAAACCACAATCCCATCATTTGTCTGTTGCCCGCCCAAAAAATCATCAAAAACCACCCAAAACAATGAAAAAAAAACATTAGTCTAGAAAAGAATAGCACCAAGCAGACACATTAGAGTCACGATCTGTGAGAATGCATTGAATGCCATTATCAATGTTTAGTCATTTAGATCAACTTAGTACACGAGCGTTAAGCAATTGTGCCACTGTTCAACATTTTATATAGAACCTCACAACACAATCATAATTTATTAATTGACAGTTAGCCTGGATAGAGCCTCAACTGATATCATTTTCATCATCAATGTACTCAAAATCACGCGGCCGAGTGCACGTGGGAGAAAGCGCATGGGAGAGCAAATCATAATCATCTACTTAACCAGATATTCTCCTTTCTTACTGATTTATTTTTCTATTGGAGAAGGATATAAAATGAAACAGAGAAGACTGATATTTTACGGAATTCAGAATTTTTGGTGCCATAGGGGAAGTCAGAGCCACATCCCATTTGGACAAAGTTGACAAATGGGTCAAACGGGAGAGACAAGTAGTTTATCATAAGGGTCAAATGGGAGAGTTGCATAAAACAATAAGAAGGCTTCTCTTGCACTCCCATTTGACCCTTGTAATTACTCCGTCTGACCCTTTTGATAACTTCACCCGTTTTCCCATCTTGAAGGTCAAATGGAAGGGCTAAATGACCTTCTTGTTCTCCCATTTGACCCGTAAGAACGTTTGATAACTCCACCCATCTTAAAGGTCAAATGGAAGAGCTAGATGACTCTCTAGCCCTTCCATTGGGCCCTTAAGAACGTTTGACCCTCCTAATAACTCCCCTCGTCTGTCCCATTTTGAAGGTGAAATGGGAGAGCAAGAAGGTCATCTAGCAAGAAGGGACGACGTTCGACCCTTTCGATAACTCCATCCGTCTCTCTCATTTTAAAGGTCAAATGGGAGAGCAAGATTGAAGATCTTATTCTCCTATTTGACCTTTAACAACGTTTGACCCTTTCCATAATGTCAGGGTCAAATGGAAGAGCTAGATGGCTCGTAAGCCCTTCCATTGGGCCCTTAAGAACGTCTGATCCTCCTAATAAGTCCACTCGTTTGTCCCATCTTAAAGGTCAAATGGGAGAGCTAGATGGGAGACCTTACTCTCCCATTTGACCTTTAACAGCGTTTGACCCTTTTGATAACTCCACCCATCTTAATGGTCCAATCGAAGAACTAGACGGGAGAGACGTTAGAGTGATAAAAAAAAAATTGAGCACGTCATAAGGGTCAAATGGGAGAGTTGCCTCTAATTCCCCTATAAAACCAAAAAATAAAGCTTCATTTTGCCCAAATCTCTCCCTCTTTTTTTCAACACTAAAACAACTATTCAAATGCACGAAAGCTTTGATTGTCGCATGATTTGTGGGTGAGAGATTACACTATGGTAACAAGAGTCAATGGGCTCGGTAAGTAACTACTCTAACCCTTTTGCTATCCTGGGCTTTCTAAAAACCTCTAAGCAAATAGTAAGAGTAAATAAATGGGCTTTTTACCTGCAACTAAACACCTCGTAAGAGAATAAAATAATCAACGAGGTAGAAGGATTGGGATTCGGGTGGGACTAGAGGGGGCGATGAATTTCTCTCCCTCTAGTTCCATTTGAATCGTTAGTCTCATTGTTGGGGACTCGAGGGGCCTTTTTTTAAATTGGATTATTGGGTTTTCATCACAGGCTCATCTCCATGGCGTACGGACAGATTGGTATGATTCAGGCTGCCGCAGGTTTCTTCGTGTACTTCGTTATCATGGCTGAGAATGGATTCCTACCCACGTATCTTTTCGGCATCCGAAAGCACTGGGACTCCAAAGCTATCAATGATCTTACTGACAGTTATGGTCAGGAGTGGGTAAGAATGCAAACATTTCGGCGATTTTTTCAGTATTTCCCTTGGATATATTCAAATTTTACTCTAAATTCGTTGTAAAGGGCCAAGCGGGAGAGATGAACGAAGTGATCAGAAGAATCAAAATTTTCGTAAGGGTCACATGGGAGAGAGGCGGAGGGTCAAGCGGGTCAAAGGGAGGGAGAGCGAAGGCATTAATCCACTCGTCTCTCCCATTTGACCCCAGAGAATGTTTGACCCTTCTGATTATTCTGCTCGTCTCTCCCGATTAACCCTTAAGAATATTTGATTCTACCTATCTCTCCCGTTTGACCCTCAAGAACATTTGACCCTTCATTATTTTTTGGAGTAATACAAACGGAAATAAAGGGTATTCGAATTTTACTGTAAATTCGTTGTTTAAGGGTCAAGTGGGAGAGACGAACGTATGATCAGAAGGATTAAACTTTCTCAAGGGTCGAATGGGAGGGACAGGCGGAGGAGTCAAGAGGGTCAAACGGGAGGGAGAGCGAAGTGATCGCTCCCCTCGCCCCTCCCATTTAACCCTCAAGAATATTTGACCTTCCACTTGTCACTCCCATTTGACCCTTCTGTTTTTTAGGAATAGAGATGGAAAAAAAAGTTATTCCAATTTTACTCTAAATTCGTTGTTTAAGGGTCAAGTGGAGGGGTCAGGCGGAGGGGTCAAGAGGGTCAAATGGGAGAGACGAGCGAAGTTATCACTCCACTCGTCCCCCCCCCCATTATTGACCCTTCGGATTATTTCGCTGGTCTCTTCCGTTTAAGGGTCAAATGGGAGAGACAGTTGGAGGGTCAAACGGGAGAGACGAGCGATATGATCACTCCCCCGTCTCTCCCATTAGACCCTTGAGAGCATTTGACCCTCCACCTGCGACCCCCGTTTGACCCACAAGATTATCTAACCCCAAAGAAAACCTTTATTAATAAATTTCTAAAATAAATTTTGTCTGTTACAGACGTACAGAGATCGCAAATCTCTCGAGTTCACCTGTCACACCGCCTTCTTCGTGTCTATTGTCATTGTACAATGGGCTGATCTAATCGTCTGTAAGACACGTAGAAATTCAATCGTTCACCAGGGAATGAGGAACTGGGCGCTCAACTTCGGTATTGTCTTCGAAACAGCCCTCGCTGCTTTCCTCAGTTACACGCCTGGTATGGACAAGGGGCTTCGCATGTTTCCACTCAAGTAAGTATCATCCACACCCAATTTTTTTTTTTTTCAGCAGAGGGTCGAATGATGTGGGTTAAACGGGCTCCAACAGAGTGATCAGAAAGGGTCATTTGGCCCTTAACCTTTCACGTGTTCAAGGGCCGTTGCCTCTTAAGACGTCTTAAGTCATTGAAGGTTGTTTGACCCTCCAGCCCATTTGACCTTCAAAAGAAAGATGAAAAACATTCTTGACATTTTGCTTCAGTTGAGGTTCAAATTACTTCGGGGGTCAAACGAACCTTGAGGACGTTTGGTGTTGAGGGTCAAATATCCTTGAAGAACGGTCAGGGTCAAATGGTCTCAATCGGAAAGGGTCATTTGAACATCAACCTTACACCCCTCCAAGGGTTGGTTGACCCTCAAAACCATTTAACAGATGTCTTGATCCATTGCTTTAGTTAAAAATCAACTGATTTCGAGGACCAAACGATCCTCGAGGACGTTTGGAGTTGAGGGTTAAACGAACCTTGAGGACGTTTGGAGTTGAGGGTCAAACACTCGTTAAGAACGTTCAGGGTCAAATGGTCTCAATCGGAAACGGTCATTTGACCCTTAAGCCAATTTGAAACAGCCCCGATCGTCATGAAGGGTCGTTTGACCCACAAGACCATTCGACAGATGTCTTGATCCATTGCTTTAGTTAAGGATCGACTGAATTCGAGGGCCAAACGATCCTCAAGGATGTTTGGAGTTGAGGGTTGAACGACCCTTGAGGACGTTTGGAGTTGAGGGTTAAACGACCCTTGAGGACGTTTGGAGTTGAGGGTCAAACACTCGTTAAGAACGTTCAGGGTCAAATGGTCTCAATCGGAAACGGTCATTTGACCCTTAAGCCAATTTGAAACAGCCCCGATCGTCATGAAGGGTCGTTTGACCCACAAGACCATTCGACAGATGTCTTGATCCATTGCTTTAGTTAAGGATCGACTGAATTCGAGGGCCAAACGATCCTCAAGGATGTTTGGAGTTGAGGGTTGAACGACCCTTGAGGACGTTTGGTGTTGAGGGTCAAACGGCCCTGAAGAACGTTGAGGGTGAAATGGCTTCAAGGGTTAACCGAGTCAAACGACCATTCGTCAGATGTCTAGACCCACTGCTTTAATTGACGATCGAGGGTCAATCTACCCTCGAGAACCTTCATTAAGGGTCAAATGGTCTCAAGGGTCAACCCTCAAAACCCGAATTACATTGAATATCCGTTCTTTCTAGCCCTCTATTACCCACCAAACGCCAAAATAACAATTTTACTCTTTTCCCAGATTCGTCTGGTGGCTTCCAGCCCTCCCCTTCATGCTCGCCATCTTCATCTACGACGAGACGAGACGATTCTACCTGCGCAGAAATCCCGGTGGCTGGCTCGAGCAAGAAACTTACTACTAAATTACCCCATCTCCCCCCCCTTCAAACAACAACAGCGAAGCGCATACCCACGCGAAAACACAATTCGATGATAAATCGATCGACAAAATTCACGAGACGATAAAACCCACGAAAACTGAAAATTGAAAATTAAGAAAATGAGAATTAAAAACATTAAGGGCGTGCTTGCAAATCAGGATCAGTAACCACTCATTGTAATTAGTGCTGATTTTATTAAATATTGGAGGCTGGAGTGTGCTTCGTTGGCTGAATAATCCCTGTGAGGAAATTTACTTACGACCAGATGATGCTAATCCCTTGATCATTGGTCACGTCAGAGATTATTAATAGAGTCTCGTTAAGAATGTGTCACTGCCCAATAATTGAAAATAACGCCTGGGATTTGGCTGATGGAGCTGATGTAATAGATCCAGCCATTGATTAATAGAAAAATATGAGGAAATAATAAAATCATTAGACAGAGTGGGACAGATGGGCCTAAGAAAATTAACTAAAATTATAAATAGATGGTGAGACGAAGCAGTGAGTGAACGAATTATGTTGAATAATGAGAATGATTATTTAAAATGAATAATTCGAGGTAGATTAATCTGTTGAATTTTAAAGAGAAATAAATTATTTAATCGAGATAATCTGGGTGTCTTGGAATACTCGACTCGATAATCTGTTGAATTAGATTACTTCATTCCATAAAATTTTGGGGGAAAATTTTTAAAATGACGTAGGGAAATTTAATGAATGGATGCTAATTAGGAGAGAACAGGCAGGACAGATTTATCCAATGACCATGATTATTTATCCTCGCTAGTGGCACGCCCTAGGAGTGAGCGAAGAAGTCGTCAACAATAATCAATAATTAATTGGGATGAGTCTTCAACACGTAAAAGTTGAGAAAATTTTCTTTTCTCAATCAGATCTCAAGGTATTCACTAAAAATTGATGATAAATAGGAAATCCAATTTAAGTTCAATTTATTATTTTCCTGAATATCTAGGGAACTGTAGGAGATACCAAAATTTTCCTGAGAGCGTTTTTTGTGGGGAATTTTCTCAGCTGAAAAAATGTTCTTAACAAAAATTTCGATATCTCAAACAGATCTGAAGATATTCACAAAAAACTGATGGTAAAAGTTGAATTGAATTTGATTTCATTTTCTTGTTTTTTTGAATATCTCGGGAACTGTGGGAGATACCAAAATTTTTCTGAGAACATTTCTTGTAGAGAATTTTCTCAGCTGAAAAAAGTTCTTAACGAAAATTTCGATATCTCGCTTAGATCTGGAGATATTCACGAAAAACGGGCCTTGAAAATAATTCAAATTGAATTTTCAATTCAGTTTTTGCTGAATATTTTCGATCCACTACATGAGACGTTAAAATACTCTTCTAGAACTTTTTTCGAGGGGACTTTTTCAACTACAAAAAACATCTGAGTCTTCATCAAAAACAAAATATCCACGAAATAACGAGGGGAAGTACAAGAACCAGTAGAAAAAAAATCGATCAAAAAAACCACTAGTTTATCAATAAATTGAAACAATATTTTTGAATGATTTCTCGATAAATACGAAGAACATTCTCAATCCGAACATCAACTGAAGATCGAATAAAGATTATAATAACAGAAGGGAGTAAATAGTGCACGCGACGAGTAGATGTAGAAGCGAGGAAGATTTAAAAAATGTAATGAAATGAAAAAAAAATAATAATTCTACGAGCTATAGCTGGTGAATGGAAGTAATGCATTCTCACGTAGGGAAAATGAATTAATAAATATAATAAAGAGTAAATAAATGAAATGCATTCATTCTCTTAGGTTTTTTCATAGTTCTAAAGGAGTGAGAGAGTTCAACCCCCGGCGCGAATGCCCTGTGAATCCCCCCCCCCTGACTTCAACATTTTTTTCTTTTCGTTTTTGGGGAGAACTTTAGGGACTCGAGGTGTGAAATTGACGTTGCGAATATATGCCCAAAGTGTTCATTATTAAATTGTGAAAAGATAACACTTGATTTAACATCTTGACACTCTTCTTCGCTCATTCATTACACTGTTAGAGGAGACGTAAAATTTCGGGGACGGTTGGGGGGAATTAATCGTGAAGTTTCAGGGTTCACTGAGGACTCTATGAAATTATCTGAATTTTTGTATTTTCAATTATGAAATTCCTTGAAATTTCAATGTTCATTGACATTCCTTGAATTTCAATTAACATTTTGCAATTAAAAATAACAGATTGTGGAAGGAAAGGGAAATTTTGTGGACGTTTGAAGGAAAATAATCCTGAAATTTCAGGTTTCACTGAGGATTCTATGAAATTATCTGAATTTTGCAATTTCAGTGATAAAATTCTTTGAAATTTCAGGGGAACTAGAATAAGATGGAAATTTCAGTCAATTTTTAACACTTTGTAATTAAAATAACAGATTGTTAGAAGGAAAGTGAAATTTTGTGGACGTTTGAAGGAAAATAATCCTGAAATTTCAGATTTCATTGAGAACTCAATGAAATTCAATGAAATTATCTGAAATTTCCTCATTTCCATTCATTTCCGTATAATAATTCACTTGAAATTCGCAGTTACCATTGATTTCGCCTCATAATTTTTCATTTTCGGCGATGAAATTCCTTGAAATTTCATAACGTGATGAAATTTTCCAGAAATGCACCAGAAATTTCACCCAATTTTTAACATTTTGTAATTAAAAATAACAGACTGTTACAAGGAAACCGAAATTTCGGGGACATTTCAAGGAAAATAATCCTGAAATTTCAGATTTCATGGAGAACTCAATGAAATTCAATGAAATTATCTGAAATTTCCTCATTTCCATTCATTTCCGTATAATAATTCACTTGAAATTCGCAGTTACCATTGATTTCGCCTCATAATTTTTCATTTTCGGCGATGAAATTCCTTGAAATTTCATAACGTGATGAAATTTTCCAGAAATGCACCAGAAATTTCACCCAGTTTTTAACATTTTGTAATTAAAAATAACAGACTGTTACAAGGAAACCGAAATTTCGGGGACATTTCAAGGAAAATAATCCTGAAATTTCAGATTTCATTGAGAACTCAATGAAATTCAATGAAATTATCTGAAATTTCCTCATTTCCATTCATTTCCGTATAATAATTCACTTGAAATTCGCAGTTACCATTGATTTCGCCTCATAATTTTTCATTTTCGGCGATGAAATTCCTTGAAATTTCATAACGTGATGAAATTTTCCAGAAATGCACCAGAAATTTCACCCAATTTTTAACATTTTGTAATTAAAAATAACAGACTGTTACAAGGAAGCCGAAATTTCGGGGACATTTCAAGGAAAATAATCCTGAACTTTCAGATTTCATTGAGAACTCAATGAAATTCAATGAAAGTATCTGAAATTTCCTCATTTCCATTAATTTTCGTGTGATAATTCACCTGAAAGTCGCAGTTGCCATTGATTTTCTTTCATAATTTTTCATTTTCGGCGATGAAATTCCTTGAAATTTCATAACGTGATGAAATTTTCCAGAAATGCACCAGAAATTTCACCCAATTTTTAACATTTTGTAATTAAAAATAACAGACTGTTACAAGGAAACCGAAATTTCGGGGACATTTGAAGGAAAATAATCCTGAAATTTCAAATTTCATTGAGAACTCAATGAAACTCAATGAAATTATCTGAAATTTCCTCATTTCCACATAATAATTCACCTGAAATTCACAGTTAACATTGATTTTCCTCAGAATTTTGCATTTTCAACCATGAAATTCCTTGAAATTTCATAATGCGATGAAATTTTCCCAGAAATGCCCCAGAAATTTCACCCAATTTTTATCAGTGCCAGCAACTACATGACAGAAGACATTTTACAATGATAAATGCACAATAAAATACAGAACATATACAGTATTTTGAGGGCTCCTCGAGACTATTCAACAATTTATTTTCAGTTTTCCTCGGGAGAGATGTGTTTAGCGTGGGATGTACAGGATTTTGTAATGAATTATACAAATAAATAAATAATTTATGGGTGACGACAGGGTGTTGCGTGCCGGGGACTGTAGGAGCCCAATATAACGAAAATTACGAAAAAAAAAAATATAAAAAACATGATAAAAGATGAAAACAAAAAACATTATGAAAATAACAAAAAAATGCTTTGCCGTCGTGCGCCGCCTCACTTTAGGCTAATAATTTAATTATTAAAAGGTAATATTAATGATTATTGATATAATACATGTTATTATAAGATATTACTAGATGTAATTATTATGTATGGCTTAGTTTAGATCGTGTTGTTGAGAAAAAAAAAACAAAGTATGCGTAAGATTATTGGAGATTAATTGGAGAGATGGGTTTGAGGTGATTCAGGGGCTGGAGAGGAGTCAGTGGGGGGTGATAATTTTTACATTGTCTGTGTTCTAGAGGTCATTCATTAATAAATGTCGATAATTTATACTCGGGTGAATTTATTAGTGATTTTTGGGGAAAATTTGGGTGGGAAATCGAAGCTGAGGGAAATTCGAGTTTATTTTTTCCTGGATATCTCTGAATCTACGAAAGATAGGTAGATTTTGGTGAGAATACTTTTTGTGGAGAATTTTATCAGCTACAAAAAAGTTTCTTACGAAAATTTCGATATCTCGATTCGTTCGCCAGATATCCACGATAAACTGATGTTAGAATTAGAATTCAATTCAATTTTGATTTCATTTTTTTGTCAATATCCCGAAAACTAAAAGGGATATCGAAATTTTTGTAAGAACATTTTTTGTAGAGAATTTCAAAAGCTACAAAAAAGTTTTTGACGAAAATTTCAATATCGCGCGTGGATCCCGAGATATTCCCGAAAAACTGGTCTTGCACAAAATTTGAATTGACTTTTCAATCGGAATTCCCTCAATTGCTCCCGAAACCCAAATTCCCCCACATCTCCAGACCCTTCGCACCCCCTCGCCCCAGCAGCCCCCCAAATTTCGAGCCCCCACAAGCCACCCCTCACTCCGCCCAGCGCCCCGAATCCCCGAGAAAAAAAACCGAAAAAAAAAACAAATTGAATAATGTTTTATTAATACTGTAAATATTTTAAATAATAGAAAAAAAATGAACGACAAATGGATGAAATAAAGAGGAATAAAAAAATGCGTACGTGACTGGACATAAATCACGTCTGACGAGGGCAATTGGGGATGAATCTGCCCAATTTTTCTGTTCTAAAATTTCACGCAATTGATCCCTCCCGCCCCCTCCCCGTCCAAAAAAAAAGTGAAAAAACCCTGCGTTCGCTCTTTCGTTGATAAGCAGTCACATTAATGAACACTCGATAAAATAAATGAACCACATTTTATCGACACGAGAGTGAGAGAGAGAGAGAGAAGAATAAAAGAAAAAAAACAGAAAAGAGAAAAAAAAATTGTAATCACTCGCGAGCTTCTGCTGGTAAATCGATTGGATCCCATTCACAATCCGCTCATGGCTACAATCAACGTGATGAGAAAATATAATTGATAAAAGTACACATGCATTACAGTCCACACGCGAATTAATTGCGACGAACAAATAACACGTGCTCACTCTGCTCTAAATGAATAACTAAAAAAAAAATCCACTTGTAACTGTAACATCCCTGTTTCTGATTGACAATTCCTTTCGTATTGAATTAATTAATTGATAAGTCTTTTTGTTTTCACGATGAAGTAAATAACATTAAGGAGGAAAAAAAAAATGGATAAAATGATGAAAAAAAAAAATAATAAAATACAAAAATGAGAGACATTGTCCAACCCAAGTGTCATTACTTTTGATGTTAAATAAAAAATACATAATTAATAAATTGGGTTTTGTTTTATTTGGGTAATAATTGTGGTTTAATTGGGGGATTCATGTTGAATAAAAAATGCATAATTAATAAATTGACTTTTCTGTTTTATTTGGGTAATTGCGGTTTATTTGGGGGGAAAGTTTTTACAGTTGGTGAGGATTACAGTTCGATTTTGTGAGGTTTTAGTTGTTTTGATGATTTTCTCCTTGGATTGAGGGTCATTTGACCCTCGACTGAAGCGAAATGTTACAAAATATTTTTTTGTTGGAAATTTCTTTTTTTATAAGCATTGATGTCGACATATGGATCTTAGGGATTAAATGACCCTTAAGAAGGTTTAGGGTTGAGGGTCAAATGGGGTGATCTGAAATGGTCATTTGACCCTTAACCCCTCACGTTTTCAAGGGTCGTTTGACCTTTACGATTATATGATCCTCAAATCATACGTCCGTAGGAAGATTTTGATCCTTACGACCCTTTGACCTTCACCCCCAAACCTCATCAAGGGTCATTTGACCCCCACGACCCTTTGACCTTCACCCCCGAACCTCATCAAGGGTCGTTTGACCCTCAACTAAAAATCTCTGAAAAATGTCAACAGAAATTCTCAAAAATCATTACTTGATTAATTTAAGGGTCAAATGATCTTAAGAGTCGTTTGACCCTCACGACCCTTTGACCTTCACCCCCGAACCTCATCGAGGGTCGTTCGACCCTCAAAACTATTTGACCCTCAAAAAAAATTGTGAACAAAAAATTTCAAAAATCATTGTTCGTTTGTGAAAACTTCTTTCTGTCCTTCCCCAGCCGCTTCTTCCTCAACCTCTCAATGTGTTTCTTCAGCTTTCCCGTGCTCTTAAGCTCCTCATACTGCGACACGAGGTTCACAATCCTCTTCTCCGATTTTCTCCTGAATTTCGGCTTCTCTCCGCTCTTTATCGCCTCCACGATCTCCCTCTTCTCCGCGCTCCTCAGGTCCTCCCTCTGTTTCTTCCTCGACTCCTCCTTCAACTGGTTCTCGATCCTCTGGATCAAGTACTTGATCTTCTTTATTTGCTTCGGATCCTCAGTGGTTTTTAACTCATTTTTCAGGGCTTTAAGGTCGTTCTCTTTCATTTTGAAGAGGAAACTGTACGAGTTCTTGAAGGCTTTCTCGTCGAAATTACCGCAGAGGGAGTCGAACCTGGGGTCCCTCGGCTCGTGCCTCTTCACGTGGACAACCTCTTTCAATCGAGAGACTGGCCTCTTCGCCGACATCTCTCGGGGTCTGTTCTTGTTCTCTCGTTTGAAGTCTGTTTTTTTGACCCGTTTCGCACCGAAAATTGCCTCGTTGTACACCTTCGAGCCCAGTTTCTCCTTCAATTTTTGTAAATCCTCGAAACTCATCTGCGAGAGCTCCTCGCGGATTTGGGTCTGTGGATGCAATATTTTTGGGCATCATTAAGCATTAATTAATTAGTTATTGGTGATGGGGGGTGAAAAGGAAAATGAAACGAAGGGATTTTTTCATGTTCTAGTGAGGGTGGAGATATCTTGGGAGTCAGGGCGTTTAGGGGAAAACGTCAGAGGGATTTTTTGTGGAGAATTTTGTCGGCTACAAAAAAGTTCTTGTGGTGTTTTCTTGTGGGGTCGATGGTTTCGAAGATAATTGGAAAAAACAACTGGGGGAAATTGGTGAAAATGAAAAGAATAGTTTTTTCGTCTCGTTTTCATGTTCTAGTGAGGGTGGAGATATCTTGGGAGTCAGGGCGTTTAGGGGAAAACGTCAGAGGGATTTTTTGGGGAGAATTTTGTCGGCTACAAAAAAGTTCTTGTGGTGTTTTCTTGTGGGGTCGATGGTTTCGAAGATAATTGGAAAAAACAACTGGGGGAAATTGGTGAAAATGAAAACAATAGTTTTTTCGTCTCGTTTTCATGTTCTAGTGAGGGTGGAGATATCTTGGGAGTCAGGACGTTTAGGGGAAAACGTCAGAGGGATTTTTTGTGGAGAATTTTGTCGGCTACAAAAAAGTTCTTGTGGTGTTTTCTTGTGGGGTCGATGGTTTCGAAGATAATTGGAAAAAACAACTGGGAGAAATTGGTGAAAATTTAAAAAATCGTTTTTTCGTCTCATTACAAGAATGGAATTATCTGGATAAGGGGAGATTTTAGAGAAAAATGTCAAAATCATTTTTTAGAGAGAATTTCTTCAGCTATAAAAAAGTTCAGGTGATTTTTTCTCGTACAGTCAATGGTTCCGAAGATAATTAACAAGGAAGGAAATAGGAAATGGTAGAGTGAGAGAACAATCGACATTTTCAGATTTTTTTTGAATATTAGATTATCTCGATGAGGAAGACGTTTAGACGAAAATGTCAGAAGACTTTTCTGTAGGAAATTTCATTAGCTAGAAAAAGTTCTCAGGAGATTTCATTCTCAATCCACTCCTCACGGGGATAATTAATAAAAACAATGGGAGCAAATGCGTCATCTTAACCTCAAAACTCCACAAATAGAAGAACAACCAAAAATTTTACGCTTCAGTATCTGTAGATTAAACGATGCGATTTGAATACATCAAAATTCATTTTAAACTCCAAAAAATACTTTTAAAATGAAAAAAAAAGTTGTTGAATTCCACTCTGCCAATCCCTAGTTATTCACAATTAAGAAAACGGAAAATTCATTTCTAACCTAAAAAAAACCATACAACAAAAACAAACTTTTCAAAATCATCAATATCTCCGGATCAAACGACACGATTTCAATAAATCAAAGCTCATTTTAAGCTCCAAAAAATCCCGACAAAGCTCAGAAAAAATCTCCGAATTCCGCTCTGCCGAATCCCAGTAACAGGCCCTCAAAATCTGTTAATCGCACCCATCTCCAAAAACCCAATCACCAATTCCCTAAAAACTCACCCTGTCCTTGTCCTCCTCCAGCATCCCCATAGTTTCATCATCGCTGCTCATCCCGGATGATCCCAGGGGTCACTCACCCCTCCCCAACCAACTAATTAATTGATTAACCGAGAAAAAATAACGCAAGAGCACTCCAAATGCTCCAAACGTATTTTATCGTTTATTTCTAGGAATGGGGACGTTTGTCGATTAATCGAAAACATCGATTTTTCATGCCCAAACATCGACGTTTTTCATTCGATATTTTGAACGGCCGATTAATCGATTTTCGATTCTTTTTTACAAAATCGATGTTTCTGACCCAGTAACAAAATTTTTAATTTTGGTGTCGAAGAATAATGTTGATTGATTGAGAATGAACAAAATAATAATTTATCCGCAATCAGAAGTAATCATTTTCTACAGTATGTATGTTATAAATGATAAGTGAACAAGTCCAGTCGTTCATTGATTTTTTAAATATTTTAAATATAAAAAAACGTTTTTTTTACATTTAAATTTTTAACAATTATTGCAGCTAACGGAAAATATTCAGTATATTTTCTTCAATTAATCAAAAACCCTGTTTTGAGATTTCAAAATTTAATTCTCCAGCAATACTTATCATTGAAACGTAAGTTCCTCGAGGAAAAAGAAAATTATTGAAAAAAAATTGATTTTTCTCTTGTGTTATTACTTATTAATGAAAAAAAAACATCGATTACTGAACAAATCGATGGTTTTTTCATCGATTTGTTCAGTAATCGATGTTTTTCCATCGATTTTTCCAGTAATCAATGTTTTTTCATCGATTTTTTCAGTAATCGATGTTTTTCCATCGATTTTTCCAGTAATCAATGTTTTTTCATCGATTTTTTCAGTAATCGATGTTTTTTGATCGATTTTTCAAATAATCGATGTTTTTCCTGATAAATCGATTCACAACATCGATGTTGTTGAAAAACATGAATTCTTCGATAATCGATGTTTTTTAAATCGATGTTTTTCCATCGATTTTTCCAGTAATCAATGTTTTTTCATCGATTTTTTCAGTAATCGATGTTTTTTGATCGATTTGTCAAATAATTGATGTTTTTCCTGATGAATCGATTCACAACATCGATGTTGTTGAAAAACATAAATTCTTCGATAATCGATGTTTTTTAAAACATTGCCCATCGCTATCGATCTCTCTGGAAAATCCAGGCCCCGCCATCTCGTGTCGCTCCAGCACAGCAGTTCCACCCACTCATCTCCAAAATCATCACCTCCATGACTGAAAACCCTCACGAACACGATTGAACAGTGGTCCACCTAACCTTAACATGTACTCCTAATAATCACCAACAGAAACCCAAAAAATCATCAAAAATATCTGACACTACACCGCAAATAATAAAATAGACTGCGTAAGTAATCGCCCGAGGGTCTCAAAAATGCAATAAAAATCCCGGAGATGATTGTCACTCCGGAATAAATAGTCGCCCTCCCCCTGCAATAGTGTCACGTACTTCACGATTATATAAATAACATAAACTTGGGTTGATAGAAGATGTTGAAGCTAGTGGGAACCCTGCGGAATGGTTCGGCGCGGTTATCACCACGTTCCACCAACTGGTGCATGCCGAAACAGCCGCTGGCCGGATGCTCCGGGGCTGCGACAGCACCTCAGCCCAACGTGAGTCCATGCATTTGAATTTTTTCGTCCTTCAAAGTTGAGTTTGTTTTTGGGGGTGTATCTGGGGAAGGACGGGAGGTGGGAGATTTTTTGGGAAGACGGTTTTTGTGGAGAATTTCGAGAGCTGCAGAAAAGGTCTTTATGGAAATTTCTGTATCTCGTGTAGTTTTGGATTTTTTTCGTTTTTTCGCCACCAGCTTTCATCATTTGTTGTCAACTTTTAATTCGTTTATCAATCAATTCATTGTAAATTCAACTTTTTCGAGTTTGGATTTTTTCTCCCGAAACTTGCACATGTTTTGAATAAAAAAGTTCTTTTCCACTTCTTTGATAAAATTTATATTTATCGAGTTATAATTTTTTTTCAAATTACCTACCTGGTCCAACCGAAAAATTTTCATTTCGTTCAAATTTTCGTTTTTTCGCCACCAGCTTTCATCATTTGTTGTCAACTTTTTAATTCGTTTATCAATCAATTCATTGTAAATTCAACTTCTTCGAGTTTGGATTTTTTCTCCCGAAACTTGCACATGTTTTGAATAAAAAAGTTCTTTTCCACTTCTTTGATAAAATTTATATTTATCGAGTTATAATTTTTTTTCAAATTACCTACCTGGTCCAACCGAAAAATTTTCATTTCGTTCAAATTTTCGTTTTTTCGCCACCAGCTTTCATCATTTGTTGTCAACTTTTAATTCGTTTATAAATCACTTCATTGTAAATTCAACTTCTTCGAGTTTGGATTTTTTCTCCCGAAACTTGCACATGTTTTGAATAAAAAAGTTCTTTTCCACTTCTTTGATAAAATTTATATTTATCGAGTTATAATTTTTTTTCAAATTACCTACCTGGTCCAACCGAAAAATTTTCATTTCGTTCAAATTTTCGTTTTTTCGCCACCAGCTTTCATCATTTGTTGTCAACTTTTAATTCGTTTATCAATCAATTCATTGTAAATTCAACTTCTTCGAGTTTGGATTTTTCCTCCCGAAACTTGCACATGTTTTGAATAAAAAAGTTCTTTTGCACTTCTTTGATAAAATTTATATTTATCGAGTTATAATTTTTTTTCAAATTACCTACCTGGTCCAACCGAGAAATTTTGATTTCGCAGAACTTTCAGAGAAAAATCTGTATCTTATTCATCTTCAGACACCAAGATGTCAGAAATTAAGATCCAGACATCAGTTAGATTTTCAGACACTTAAAGATCCAGACGTTTTTACCCAAAAAATTAAACAAAAATCGGTGAAAAATGATGAATAATTCGCGGAATGTTGCAGCTGGAGCCGGAGCCCCCGTCGGCCCCGAAGACCGCGAAGTCCGAGGTGCCCCAGCGAAAAAATGTCCTAGTGAAGAAAGCCTTCGCCGAGCTGAACATCAGCAAATCAGCCCCAGAGCCGGCGCCAATGAACTCGGTGCAGCTCATGGAGGAGCTCCTCTCCTCCATGAACACGAAGTTCATCAACTACAAGCAGGCAATCCACACGATGACCCTCCTCTCCCAGCAAGTGGACAAGGGAGCCATCGACTTGAAAACCCTGGAGAGCGACGAGAGGTACAAGAAATTATGCCGGATAATAACGAGAAAATCGGGGGCTGCGAATGCCGCAAAATCCGGGGAGGGGGAGGGCTCCAAGTCCCTGGAGAAGACGTTCTCAGTGGACGATCTGCTCGAGTCAACGGAGGTGAAGAAACTCCCCCTGGCCCAGAGCATCCAGTTGTTCTGTGGATTAGCTGTCAGACAGAGACGACCCAGACCTCTTCTCCGAGGTCTCGCCGAGAATATCATGAAGAGCTCCACCAGTTTAACGATTAAAAACGTTGCAGATATTCTCTACAGCATGGCGAGACTCAACTTCGTTGAGGAGGACCTCCTGGTGAAGCTCAGTGAGGGCTTGAGGGAGAAAATACCAGGGGTCAGGCAGAGCCCCATCATCGGCTCCATTCTCACGTCCTTGGGGATGATGAGGTAGATTGGTCGATGAATTTATGGTTTTTTGCACAGGTTTTTCAGGAGAAATTGTTTAAAGTACTATTTTTATTTTTAACGGATTTTTTTTTCAAATTACAAAAAGAACGAGCCTGTTTTATCACAATCAAAATAATCACAGCAAAAATATCACAGTCCAAATGATCATAAATAATCCTTTAAGCCATTATCATTAATAATCATGTTTATAAAAATGAAATATTGCAATTCAATCAGTCAAACTAGACAAACAAACAATTTCAGTTACGAATTTCATTAATTTCTTTCAATTCTTCATCGCTGAAACAAGACGTAGATTTTTCTCTCATTACAAAAATCAATACACACTCGAAAATCAATAAATGACAGGGTTATCATAACAACTGTTTTGACCAAATGTACGTCAAAATATACAAATTGAATCAGAAAATTAGAAAGGAAAAATTGACTAGTACTTTTAGACATTTTTAAAATGTCAGTAAAATTACTTATTCATTTTTACTTATTTGATCATTTTATTTATTTATTTATTAAGGTACAGGGATGACGCTCTCATGGAAACATTCTGCGACTGGGCCATCAAGCACAAGGAGGTGCTGAGGACTCAGGACCTCTGCTCCCTCCTGATGACTCTCGCTGTCATCGGCTACAGTCCTGGCAATTTCGATGTTTTGTATCAGGATTTGGTGGGTAATCTCAAGGACACTGACATGACGAAGGTGTCGGAGTGGGTGGATGTCGTGTGGTCGTTGGTCGTCCTGGATCGGGTGTCTAACAAACAGGTGGAGAGCACGTTGAATAGCAAGTTCATTGCGACACTCACAGGTGAGAAGAATTGATCAATTGATTTTTTTCTCCATTTTATTGACTGAAAGGAGTTCAATTAAAATTCGTAATTAAGGATCAAGGATGTTTAATCAAAACTGGAGGAGTCATTGTGGGGTTGATAGGAATTTTTATTTTCATTCTATTTTTTCTTTTTGCATGTTTCATTTTTAGGTCAATTTCTGTAAATATAAATTTAATAATTTTTATCATTTCCTGTTCTTTATTAACAGGCAATTACAGATTTTACTATAGGAAATTTAATAATTCTGGTGTTTTTTTACATATTTCATATTTATTTTACATTTTAGGAAAAATTTTTCATTAAAATTTCATCATTTCGTTCTAATTTTGTTGCATTCTCAAACAAAATTGATGATTAAATTAAATTTAAGAAGAGAATGATTTGCACTGACTTGAGAATCTATTTATTGTTAAACTTTTCGGATGAAAAACTATTAAAATTAGAAAAATCTTAAAACTCTTGATATTTTCCTTAAAAAATTTTCTTTATATAAAATTTTCGCCATCTGCTTCCAATTCCAAGACATTTTGAAAAAATTAATACTGAACGTTAATTAATCCTCAACGATTGGTATTCGATTCAATAAATAATATGATATTTAGTCAAAATTTTTCTTTTTGCATGTTTCATTTTTATGACAATTATTTCCGTAAATATAAATTTAATAATTTTTATAATTTCCTGTTCTTTATTAACAGGCAATTATAGATGAATAGACTAAATATTAATAGAATTATAGATTTTACTATAGGAAATGTGATAATTGTGGTGTTTTTAAAAATATTTCATATTTATTTTACATTTTAGGAAAAAATTTTCATTAAAATTTCATCGTTTCGTTCTAATTTTGTTGCATTCTCAAACAAAATTGATGATTAAATTAAATTTAAGAAGAGAATGATTTGCACTGACTTGAGAATCTATTTATTGTTAAACTTTTCGGATGAAAAACTATTAAAATTAGAAAAATCTTAAAACTCTTGATATTTTCCTTAAAAAATTTTCTTTATATAAAATTTTCGCCATCTGCTTCCAATTCCAAGACATTTTGAAAAAACTAATACTGAACATTAATTAATCCTCAACGATTGGTATTCGATTCAATAAATAATATGATATTTAGTCAAAATTTTTCTTTTTGCATTTTTCATTTTTATGACAATTATTTCTGTAAATATAAATTTAATAATTTTTATAATTTCCTGTTCTTTATTAACAGGCAATTATAGATGAATAGACTAAATATTAATAGAATTATAGATTTTACTATAGGAAATGTGATAATTGTGGTGTTTTTAAAAATATTTCATATTTATTTTACATTTTAGGAAAAATTTTTCATTAAAATTTCATCATTTCGTTCTAATTTTGTTGCATTCTCAAACAAAATTGATGATTAAATTAAATTTAAGAAGAGAATGATTTGCACTGACTTGAGAATCTATTTATTGTTAAACTTTTCGGATGAAAAACTATTAAAATTAGAAAAATCTTAAAACTCTTGATATTTTCCTTAAAAAATTTTCTTTATATAAAATTTTCGCCATCTGCTTCCAATTCCAAGACATTTTGAAAAAACTAATACTGAACATTAATTAATCCTCAACGATTGGTATTCGATTCAATAAATAATATGATATTTAGTCAAAATTTTTCTTTTTGCATTTTTCATTTTTATGACAATTATTTCCGTAAATATAAATTTAATAATTTTTATAATTTCCTGTTCTTTATTAACAGGCAATTATAGATGAATAGACTAAATATTAATAGAATTATAGATTTTACTATAGGAAATGTGATAATTGTGGTGTTTTTTTTACATATTTCATATTTATTTTATATTTTAGGAAAAATTTTTCATTAAAATTTCATCATTTCGTTCTAATTTTGTTGCATTCTCAAACAAAATTGATGATTAAATTAAATTTAAGAAGAGAATGATTTGCACTGACTTGAGAATCTATTTATTGTTAAACTTTTCGGATGAAAAACTATTAAAATTAGAAAAATCTTAAAACTCTTGATATTTTCCTTAAAAAATTTTCTTTATATAAAATTTTCGCCATCTGCTTCCAATTCCAAGACATTTATAAAAAACTAATACTGAATATTAATCGATCTTCAACGAATAACATTGAATTAAATAAATTATAATGATGACACATAATTTCCTGTCTTAATTATCCATCTGGACATAATTGCCTCGATCCAAATTAAAATCCCACCAGTAAATCTCTAGTTTTCACGTCATTCCGGGCCGACAGGAAGTTCTAATTCCCTCAGTGCCGCAGAATAAATAATTAATTTCCACGTGAATAGCCTCATCATGCAATATTATACCCATTCCAAATTTTTTTGCAGATGGAGTCGACATCCCCGCTGCCAAGAAGCATAAATTATTGAATATAAATGCTGCGGCGAAGTATTTATTGAAGGATTACTCAGGTCCACTTTTGGAGGAGAGTTCACCAGTGATGGAGGCACCGATCGGCAGGATCAAGGACAAGGAAGTATTCGTCAAGGCCATCACCGACGCACTGGCAAATCTCTTTCCATCTAGAGAACATTTTCGAACGAATGTCGACGCTCGGACAGGCTTTCTAATAGGTGAGAATCCATTACTGCAGTTCAATTGGAATTTTTCAGTCATCAAGATGGATTTTTCATTATTTTTCTCTTCAACTTTGCAGATGTCGATTTTTATATTGATAAAAAATTGACCGCGTTACCTGTAGATAAAGTCAGTGAAGATGCAAAAGCTTTGAGGTGAGTGTTTTGATTGATTTTTTTTTCAATCGTTTGAAAAATTACTGAAAAAATTGATCAATTGATTTTTTTAATTTCATTTTCGGGTCTTCAAGAGGCGATTGATCCTCAACTTTAAATGTCCTTGAGGGTCTTTTGACCCTCAAGACATTTGACTCTCAACTAAGAAAGAAAAAGAAGTTTTCTGAATTGTTTTCTTCAAGTTGAGAAAAAAGTCGAAATTAAATGTTTAATTATCTTGATAACGAGTGGTTCTAGGAGAAAATTTGATAAGAGATTTTTCATTGGAAATTCAATTTTCTAGAAAAAAGTTCATTTGATATTTTCCCCTAAAACCACTCGTCTTGGAGATAAATAAACAAATACTAAAAAATTCTAAATTAACCAGAGAAAAAATTGATTTATTTCGTTTTCCGAATGAATGTTAATTGTCAATTGTTAATGTTAATTTTATTTCTTAATTAATACGGCAACTAGGGATTATTTTTAATTAAAAAAACCAAAACAATTAACAGCATAAAACAAAAGTTTTCTCAATTGTTTTCAAGTTACGAAAAAAGTCGAAATCAAATGTTTACTTATCTCGATAACGAGTGGTTCTACGAGAAAATGTCATAAGAGATTTTTCATTGGATATTCAATTCTCCACAAAAAAGTTCTTCTGCAATTTTCTCCTAAAACCATTGGTTTTAGAGATAAATAAACAAATACCAAAAAATTATAAATTAAACAGACAAAAAATTGATTTATTTAGTTTTCTGAATGAATGGTAATCTCTTTCTTAATTAATATGGCTGGGAGATATTTTTAATTGAAAAAGTTCCCTTTTTCAATTGCAGGATAGCAATTATCGCAAATTATTACCACGACTTCTGCGTGGGAAAAAGAAATAGCCTAGGCTTGGTTGGACTTCACAATCGATTACTCGAAGCAATGGGCTACCGAATTATTGATATATCACACACAGATTTTCACACGGACGATAAATTACTGAAACGAATTTCATACCTCAATGATCGTATTAAAACCATTGTAAAATAGCTAGCTATAGTGTAACGATAATGGTTGATCATGTAAATTTATTAATACACTGTATGAAATTTTCTGTTAAATGTGATGTTTAAATTACCCATTCGATGATTTCAATTTAGCGCATAAATGATCAATTGTTTTCATTTAAAGAGAATTTTATGATTTTTCTAATTATGAAAATGATAATTAAATTATCTTATAGACAAGAAAATATACTTCATGTTTTTTTCCACATGCAACTCCAGACATTGAAAATTATTAATTATTTAAGGGATAACTCGAGATTAGCTGAGTCGAATTCAACAAATTTGGCGCCATTTTGAAGGTTTTTTTTTAAGCTTTGAAATCAAATTTTATTTTTGGAAATCGGATCGTTCAGTCCAAAGATATTGCAGAGGAAGTTTGAATTAGTCTCACTTGAGAATTAAAGATTTGATAATTTGAAGGTCAGCTTTTTGGAAATATTTCGAAAACTGAACGAGATGGTGAGATTTTTGAAACGACCGCTTTTATACAAAAAAGTTATTGACGAATATTTCATCTTCCATAGATTCTTCAATATTTCCAAAAAAATCCCTCCAAAATTTCATTTCCTAAAACCAAAAAAAATCTTCACTCAAATCGCATTTCATCTTTTATTAACAAATTAAAAAAAATTTTGAACCCTTCCAAGAGCCCTCAGGAGTGAAAAAAAAAATAGCGCAATACGGAGAAAACTTTGCTTCATGAATTCTCACCCAAAAGGGGATGAAAAAATCTGAAGTATAGCAAAAAAAATTCGTTCTTTCTCTATTAACAGAATGAAACGAGTCAAAGGTGATGTAAAAACCATAAATAATATCACGAAATGTTCAAAAATACGAGTTGTGGACTTGTCTAAGCGCCGCCATTTTGGATACCCCCTCCCTCTGCCGCAAGCAATTTCAAAGATGGCGGCGCCCCACCTCGAATTTTCAAACCCTTCTCAAAATTATTTATCCTCTCCAAATCACCCTCAACTCAGTCCATCCGATTTTTATAAAATGAACAAATTTTTCAAGCCACCTCCCAGACTTTTCAACCCTCTTTCGGTTGAGAATTCATCGTCTAAAGTTTTCTCCTCATTTCACTAGTGTTTTTGGTACTTTCGAGGCTTCTCAGTCATGAAATTATCTCGATCAAGAAGACACATCAGTCATTTTCTGTTGAAAATTTTCTCCTCTACGAAAAAGGTCCTGTAAACATCTCTCCGAGAATCTTTCTCGGCCAAAAGGGATTTCAAAAATCTGAATTACAGTTCAAAAAATTCGTTCTTTCTCTATTAACAGAATGAAACGAGTCAAAGGTGATGTAAAAACCATAAATAATATCACGAAATGTTCAAAAATACGAGTTGTGGACTTGTCTAAGCGCCGCCATTTTGGATACCCCCTCCCTCTGCCGCAAGCAATTTCAAAGATGGCGGCGCCCCACCTCGAATTTTCAAACCCTTC